CCTTGACCCTCGCCCTCGTCGAGCTCGTCCGCCCTGGGCTGGACTTGTCACTATCTCTGCCGCCGAGGCGCAGCCTCGGGCACGGTGGTCTCCGGGCTGTCCCCACGGCCGGATCTCCAGCGGAAAACAGCCGCAGCTCGATCTTGAGGGATTTGGGGGCCTCTGGAGCTGCCGAGGCGCAGGAGAGCCCGCCAGGCCGTCGCCGTGTCTGTGGGGTAGCCAGGCCCGGGGTGGGTTCCCCACGAGTGGTAGACATCGTGGTGGTCTCTGGTGTCCACCTACAGAGCAGTGCTTGGTGAATGGGGTTCAATAAAGTGTCTGATTACAGCAGGACTACAGGGGTGATCCAGAACCCCAGAGGAGACCAGGTCAAGGTTCAGTTGTTTTTTCTTTCCCTCCCTGTTTCTGTGACCTGCGAGGTTAGATTGAGAGTTTGCCCAGTGTCTGTCGAAAGCACATTGTGTTTCCAGGACATTATTGGCAGACAATGAGTTTTTAAAATTACTTTGTGCTTTGGATTATTTGGATACTGAGAAAGATAAGAACAAACGAATGGTAATCAAAAATATGACCCACATTTAAGTCACACGTGTAAGTGCATGTTGGCACAGGCTGCCAAGATTTCATGCCAGCTTGCATTGTGAGATTGAGTTGTCCACAATTTTTTTAATCCAAAGACATTAAGAATCCTTTCTTCAGTGTTCCTCCTACACAGTTTATTTTTAAATACTACCTGAAACATCGTAAGGGACAGAATGTTTTTATTACGGTGAAGTAACAGAGGACTTCTAGAAACTTCATGCACTATAAAAGAAGATTTAAAATTGCCCAAGGGAGATCTCTCATTGTGCTTTTTCTATAAAAAATTGGTTAAGTTACAAGTTTATCTCATGTGTTTACCAGAGACTTGTCGCTGTAACAGACAATCTTGGCAACGTCATGTGTACTAAGGATGATCCATCCTATCTTGTGTCTGTTGTGGCATGGTGTATGCATCATGCCCAGAAAATTTCCAAGCAACCTGAGGTTGCAAAACAGGATATTCCTTGTAGCTATTTCTGTCTTCTAACAGAGATTCCTCTTCCATGAGGCATCTCAAAATTTGGGTGGATAAACAGGCTTCCTAGTAAAGCTCTTCAATTCCCCCCCCCCTTCTAGCTAAGTCTTTCTGGTGCTGTGAAGGCTGATGAATATTGGTTTAAGAAGCAAATCTGAAATTATAAGATGAGCTCACCCAGGGCAAAGTATATAAGAAAATTTATCTTCTTCTAGTTAATGTAGGAGTGAATATGTACTATGAGTTCGATGTGTGTCTTTACATTTCTTAACATAGAACAAAATATTGAATCATTCCTAGTTCAGAAGGTACTCTTACCTTTGTACCTTTAATTTGGTTTTGGTGATGTTAAAGATAAGTAGACTGTTATGACATTGTACAGTGTGTGCACAAGCAGTTCTGTTGCACAGATCATAATTTGGGAATTTTTAAACTTTGGAATGCCTTATTTTGCTGGAAATTGGTGTACGTGCCAAATGTGCCTGTATGCAAGCATTCAGTCATCCCTTGCAATATTGTAGTAGTAGGTTCAAGAAAGAACAATTTTTTACATAAATGTCCAGATGAGTTTGATTGTAAGAACAGCCATACGAGCACAGATCAAAGTTCCACCTAGCCTAATATCCTGTCTTCTGGCCAACAGTGTGTGGTATAGTGGATAGGAATAAGACTGACGTATAATTGCATTTCCCCCAAATACACTTTCATCTTCCAGCAATCTGTGGCTTGAGAGTTTTCTAGCAAAATGTATTTGAAAAATGAAATAGGACAGTCCTTTCCACAGGTACTGCTAATATTTTCTGTCAGATAGGCCGGCTCATGCATCATGACTGAACTCAGAACTGTCTTTAACTTTAAAGTTTGTTTATTTGTTGAAGACCTGAACAAGGAAGGGCTTATGTGTCTGAAATATTATGTTTTTTCCAGCTATTCTTTGATCCACTGAAAGATACCTGTCTTTATGCAAACTTAAAGGCTGCATTTTTCTGTAGGCATTAATGGACTGAGGTGGACCATTCTGGGGGTCCATTGAAATAGATATGCTAATGTATACATATCTTGCATTCTATAATTAGGCACATATTTTATCCTTTTTTTAAAACATTGGAAGTTTAATTCTGCTGCAAGCAGGAAAGAAGAGACATTTTCTTTTGTGGTTCTTTGTTCCAGAATCTTTCATCTAGATTGGTCTATTTTTGTCTTTTAATGTTTAGCATATTTGAAGATTAAAGCAAGGCTTAAAAAGTTTGGTTAAAGCATTTACTTGATTAAAGTATTTGCTGAGGAATGGAATTTTGTGAAAGTAAACTTTTCCAATATACTTAATGTTAAGGGACTACTGTCTCTTGAGGTGTGTACAGTGCACAAATTGGAGCTAGTACACCTAGTCAAAATTAAGGTGGGGAAAAAAACCACCTTTTTCTTTTATTAATCTTTGTATGATGCAATTTTTTGGGGTTGGAAGGGATGTGAGTATCATCTCTCGGTTGGTCCTCGTAGGGAACTGATCATCTTCATGGCCCTCCTCTGGGCTTGCTTCGACAGAGTCATGTCCTTCTTACGTTGGGGATCCCAGAGCTGGATGCAGTGCTCCAGGTGTGGTCTCATGAGAGTGGAGCAGAGGCAGAGAATCATCTCCCTCGACCTGCTGTCCGTCCAGCCCAGGATAGGGTTGGCTTTCTGGGCTACCATCTTATATACTGTTGTAATAGCTGCACAGGTTTTACCTGTTTTGAAACAGGAGGATGCATGGAAAGCTATTGTTACATAGCAACACATTTTATTAACAGAGTATTGTAGAATTCAATTTAATTATATTTATTAATTCCATTTAATTATATGAACTGGGTTTTTCAGCCTGTGTGAGAGTTAGTCAGCCTCTTGAGCCAGTAACTTTTATTTTCTTGTGTGTACTAAAGATCAGTAAGAAATTATTCATGTTGCCCCACTTCCAGTCTTGAATAGTTTGTAAATTCAGCATAATATCAATAATATTTTGTGCTTTTTCTAGTTTTAACCATTAAAGAGATATTTTGCAAGATATATGTTCTTTCAAAATAACTTCATTTTCCTTGTCTAACATACTATTCTTTACCTGGTTATTTCAACACTGTATGCAGCTGGTTATGTTAATACTTCAATACCTATTGAACAGAAGTAATGAATAAAATAGTGACATTTTCTGTCTGATTTATTGCAGGGTATTTACAACAGGAAAAACTTCTAGCTACTTGCCGTGAATTTATTTTGGAAAGCTCAGATTTGAAAGAATATGCAGAGCACTGTACAGAGGATGGGTTTATTCCAGCCTGCTTGCTGGTGGGTTTGTATTTGCAAAGCAGAAAGTTACATTGTCTTGCATCCATGGAATGGAAAATTGAGATTTTTCAGTGTAACAACATACTGTTTAAAATGTTAAGTTGGACTATCGACACTTTTTTGGTGTGTGGGTTGTTGGTTTTTTTTGCATCCTATGGTATTAGCAGTTATTTGGTTTCTAGTATTTAATATTACTAAGGAAAATTTAAATAAATATAATATGCAAATTGGTTTCAGCACATTACATTTCGTCTCCTTTATAGCTTTGAGATTGATTTCTGGAGGAGTGTTGCAAGGGTTTTATTGATTTCAGGGTTGCTCTTGTAATTTATTGGAGATTGCTTTCTTACGTTAGATACAGCAGCTGGTAATGTTCCATTTCAAGTATATATTAAATATTTAGGTAAGATACCTCAGCTTTATCTAAGGCTACCAAATTTTGGTAACAAAAGCTGTATTTCAGTTCAGCTTCCCCTTTGATTGGTATCCTCTGCTTTTGTCCCAGGTGAAATTTGGAACTTAGAGTGTACATAAATACAGTGTGTAGCTACATATGTAGATATGTTAATATAGCTATGAGATAATTAGATACTTTGCATTTTTAACTTATACAAAATGGAATTTTTAATGTAGCATCCAAATTAAAGGGTTTAGCTATTGCTATGTATCAACCTTTTAATGTTTATATGTGCATTTTCTTCCTGTTTTCCATTTCAGTCTTCTAATCCATCAGTTAATTATATGTTCTGGGATTCTGTCCACAGTGTTCAAACTTTGACAAAATCTTTCTTGAGATCTGAGACCATCGTGCACTTATTCAAAACAGACCATTGAAGTTATTTTGTTTACAAGTTATTAGTCATCTGTTCTCTGTGGGTAGGAAATTCAGAACCAAGTTATGGCCAACAAAAATTAGAAAAACCAAATATAAAGTTTATTCAGATTCTTAAAGCTTTTAATTCTTCTTCTCAGTAGAAACATTTTTCCTGTTTTTCATAGAAAAGTGATGATATGATAGTGTCTAACAGAAAAACCTCACTGCAACTCAAAATACTTGCAATAAAGGGCTGTATTTGTCATACCACTTCTCACTAGCAAACAAGACAAGAAGGTGCAACATATAATAGCGATTACTTTAAAATCACGATTCTCTTTGTTTCACCTGAAGTACCCAAACAAGTAAATATGATAGGAAAGTTAATTCTGTGGGACTGTTAAGAACTTTTTACTTTAGACAGAAGTTCTCTTCACATTTGCATCTTAATGCATGTTGCATTCCAGCATGATACTTACTTACTATTCTGGTACAGCTTTTCATCACCTTATTTTTGTGGTTTTATTCCATAATAAAAAAGGTGAGTGGAGGTCATACAGCTCTAATTGTTATACCAGTGTTGTGCAATGAGATCAAGCACTTCACATTTTGCGTTCATAATGGCATTTTGTTCCATGCTTTCTACCTAGTTTGAGACATCTCAGCACCAGCAGCACACCATTCCTTGTGCTGAAGGTCAGCATGGTGTAGTCTTCTAAAGAACTGGTTAAATATAATGTGATACAGCAGACAAAGTGTTACTAGTGAGGATTCTAAGATTGGCTTTTTTTTTTCCAGTCTCTGTGTGGAAAAAACTTGACAACTATTCTTAATGAATATGTAGCCATGAAAACAAAAGGTAAGCCTTCAGAATGAGATTTTATTTTATTTTCCATGTTTATATGTTGTGAACTCCTTGATGAAGAGGTAATACCTCCAGCTATGTAAGAACTTAAAGCAATCCCCCATCTATGCTAGAAGTTGAAGGTTTCTATGTTATGCAGACAACAGCCAGTTAGATCAGCCTCTTGTGAACAAAATTAATTTATCTTATTTTGGATTTGCCAGCATGTATTTTCAATTCAAATTTGAGCAGAACTTCTAATGTAATAAAGCACAAAGATATAATAGGTATGCAAAATGTGTGGGCTTGTGCTTGTAAAATTATACTTTTAATTGTTTATACTATGAATAGGAGGGGCAGGTGCTGATCTCTCTCTGGTGACCAGGAATGGGACACAAGGAAATGGAATGAAGCTGCGTCAGGGCAAGTTCAGATTGGACATTAGGAAAAGGCTCTTCACTGAGAGGGTGGTCGGGTGCTGGAACAGGCTCCCCAGGGAAGTGGTCACAGCACCAAGCTTGCCAGAGTTCAAGGAGCATCTGGGCAATGCTCCTAGTCGTATGGTTTAGTTTTAAGTAGTCCTGCGAGGAGCAGGGAGCTGAACTCAGTCATCCTTATGGGTCCCTTTCAACTTGAGATACTCTATGATTCAATGAAATAATCAGAAAGTGTGAAATGTTTCCTGTCTTGTTTTGTAAATTAATTAAAATACATTCATAATAACTTAATAGTTTTTATGAATTTTAGAGAGAGAGAATTTCCTGGTTTTAAAAGCAGTTATTGAGCTTCTGAATGTTGCCAAGTCCTACAATTTTTGATACATGTTGTATGATCAGATTTTAGTGCTGTTTGGTTCTAAGACTTGCAACTCAAGACATGCCATGTCTGGAACATTTTTGAATGTTTTTTTTCCTTTCACACTAGGTTTAATAGAAATGGTAGCTAAGACACTAACATACTTTCTTCAAAATAGTTTTTACTTGGCAGCTTAAAAAGCTTTATAAATGGATCTACTGACATCTTTCCATTTATATTTTAGTGTTCTGTGCTTCAAAAATCCCAAGTCTTTTTACCTGTTTGGGTGGCATCTTAAAATAAAGAATTACTTTCAAAGGCCTGTCTGCCAGGTTACATTTTTCAAAAGCACAGAACTGACTAGGGAATATGAATACCATTTCCAGAAGTGAGTTGAGTTAGGTTAGGTTAGCATGTGTCTGTCCAGGAGTCAACACCATGTACAGATTCCATTGAGAATTATCATGATGAATGTCTTTGCCACCGTTTCATTTAGGCTTCTGAAACTGAGAACTGTATCCATCATGAGTGTGTGTTCATATCAATCAAATTGCTTACAGTAGTAGTTAGGGTTCTCTAATTAACATAATATTAAGAGGGCAACTAGACATCTAAAGTTAGATGATGCTTGAAACACCCCATAATAGTTATTTTGCTTGTGATTTTACTTTTTCTCAACATATATCTGTTTTAGGCATCTGAAAATTTTTTTATTGTTTGTTTTAGAAACAACAAGTGAAGTTCCAGCAATGATGTCATCTCTATGGAAAAAATTGGACTATACCCTTTCTCAGATCAGGTAATACAGTTTTAAAATCAGGAAAGTAAAATTTCACCCGAAGAGCGAGTCGCGTTGTTTGTCAACTTTTGTACAAGAATGGTTTTGCTCTGTATTGTCTCCAAGAGATGGTAAAAGAGATAGGTATGCGAGTTGATGGTTGAGTAGACATTTCAAGATGTTAAGGCAGGACTAGCAGATAAGGAGGGCATTGGTGTGAGTATGTGGGCTTCCTGTAATAAAACAATACACTGTGACTCATTTAGAATCTGATACCATTGTGGTTACTCAATCAAAAATACAACAGTAAGCTTCATTTGAAGAATCTGTCACCACTGTTTAAAGAATAAAAATATCAATCAGATTGAAGCTCTCTGAAGTAATGTGTGGTTGGGATCAGGCTGACATTAACCATATGATAGATACTGTTGCACTGTGTAGCTAAGTGTTTCCATTGTGCTCATTTTATTTATGTCACCTGCTTTATTTTTTAGGAGCATGCAGAATTCCACAGGATTTTCTGCTAATCAAAGAAGTAAGTAACTGAGCCAATTCCATGGGATCCGTAAGCTTTTATGTTCAAATTATCTGTTTCGGAAAAAAATGGAGGAATGCTGTAACAAGCAGTAACGCATCCTTACTCTTAAAATGGTGTCAAATCTCTACTGCAGGCAGTGCTTTTTTCCAGCTTGTCTGTTGTCTTCAGTGCAATCTGTGGATTAGTAATGATCAAGAAAGGAAAGTAAGAGAAGCTGAGCTTTTTGCAAGGGGCTTAAATTCTCTAGATAGCATCATCTTCTCTGCTGAAAACCTTTTAGAGGTTTACACAGTTAAAAAGTTTAAAAACTGCTGCTTGAGTCCTGAAGCTGTTGTCTTAATTTGTGGTTCACAGAGGAATTGAAAATATTACTGGTCTAATCATGATGCAGTTTCATTTCCATAGAAGGGGAATTAGTCTTGGATCAATTATTTTTTTAATGCATAAAAACGTGTTTCAAAGCAAAATATTGAAAGATACTTGTTCTGTCTAGAATTGATTGATTCATTATGAAAACTGCCAAGTGAACTCTCAAATAGGAAAAGTTATTTTACTTTAATTTTTTTTTTACTGTGTAGTACTTCTACTGAGTAACTTGCGTGAGAATGTGAAATATAGGTAGTGATGGTTCTTGGATCTGATATTCACTGGATCGGGTCATGTTCTGTTGTTTAAAGTTGTCAGATTTAATCTGATAAATAAATGCGAACTTACACTGGTTGGCTATTTTAGTTAAGGTTAGTTATGCGAGTGGTATATTATGTAATGAAACATTGCTTTGTTATGATGTATTCCTGTAAATATTTAGGCAGTAATACAAGTATGGTTACAGTTTCTGAGTAAGTTCGTTGCATTTCTTGAGTTAATTTGGCTCAAACCTGTAAAACAGAAGACAAAGATGGGTGTTGCTTACATTTTGAGTTTCATTAATTAGTTGTTGAAGCCCAAAAAAGTTTCAATGGAGCATCCTTAATTGGGTCTTGGAAAATCAGCGTTTTACAATTCCTTTATCGTATATTTTCATCTTGTGTTTATTATCTCCAGCACGTACAAGAAGTGGAATTGTAGAAATGAAAAGACAGAGAGTGCTTCAGCAGTCGGCTCCTCCAAACTCAGGATTGCTGTCAGTAGCCCAGCAGTCAGGGTCACAAAATTCCTCTTCTGCTGTAGCTCCTCAAGTTATTCACAGGCCAACAATAAATCAAAGCATGTCACAGACAAGACTGAATACGTTGTTTGTGCACCAGTCTCAAACACAAGAAAATAAGATCACCAGTAAGTTGCACGCTGTTTTAAACAATTCTTTCTCTTGTGAAATATCTGTTGATATAGATGGACGTTTTCTAGAATCAGGGCTAAACATCTTTCACCAAAAATCTCAGACAATTTATGCTTTGTTCCCCCAGCTCTCCAAGCTGGTTGAGGTGATTAAAATAAAAGGAGTGCCCAGAAGAAAAATGGCTCTTGCATACTTACTTGCAAATGTAGCTTCAGAGATCAGAAGTGTATTAATTTGTCATTATTTTATTCTGTGTTCTCACGCTCATCCAAACCACTTGTTTTAGCAGATAGGGATGAATAACATCAAGTAGATGTTCTTCTCAGGATATATTTAAAAGGAATGGTTCTCATTATCTTAATAATACCAAATTATTTTGTATGAATTCCCAATAATTGATTGCAACTTAATAAGTGATGTGTAGATTTCTATAGTGCTAAAAGAATGTAACTGGAAAAGATACTGACATCATGACGTTTTTGGTTTTTGCCTTATAAAGCAGGAGATTTCATACACGTTCAAGTTCCAGCATCACAAGAACGAAAGCTTCATTCAAACTTGCTTTCTCCAGGAAGACAAAAAAGGTAAGCAAGGGGTTTTTTTTGGTTTTATTTTTAAGATCTATTAGAGATTATGCAATGTTCTACTCCCTAGTGTAATCTCAGATGGTGGACTGCTTCACATTCATCCACTGAGAGTGTCCAGTGTGTGATGTTTTGCAAAAGAAAGCAAGTCAAAGAACTGAACATTAGATTGATGGGAGGTTACTTTTGCTTCTTAATTGCATATAGCCAGTCTTTACATCATTCCAGTATTAGATATGGACAAATAATCATGGAGCCTAAGATTCAGTATTCTTTTCAAAAATACCCATATCAATTACTGAAAATCTCAATATAAATGTGCATTTTTACTGTTTTTGACTTAGAAAAATTATTGGCTTCAGTAAATTTTGTCAGTAAAAATTTTCATATTTGCACTAGAAGCAATGTGAAAACCTGTTCTTATACTAGTTCTGTATTTTTTCATTCTTTGATTCCAATGTCCTTTTGTTTTTAATGAATTGGTTGATCTCTTTATGTTCCATTTGATGTCTGTATCTGTGACTAAATCCCAGTCAGTGGTTACACTTATCACTTTTCCAGATCCTTATTTATACCTTTTCCAGGTCCTTTCTATTCCTGCATGATTTTTTTGTATATAAGCAGTTTTAGTGCCACTGTTGATTGATGGTTTCAGAAGAGCCTACACCGTGAGGTCATGTAAAAACTCCATTTCCTATTCATCATCTAAATTCTTATGCAACCTAACATTTGTTTGCTTCTTTGACAGCGCCTGCTCCTTGAGAGATCTTTTTCAGTGGTGATGCCCAGACCTTTTACTAGAGTGACAGTTAATTAGAACTTGTACCACCAGTTAAAGTAACGTGTACAGAAAGGGGAAAAACTTACTGAATAGTGGGCATGGAATTCAATTTGCCATTGTGCTGTTTACCCACAGTGTGTATATTTGTAACTTCTGTGAACTCGAGTGCAATATATGTGTATGATATAATGAATCAGATATCAGCTTTTATTGTATTTCCAGTATGTAGTTAATTTTCTGTTGGTTAAAAAGCTTTGTTTGCTAAGAAGGAAGAGAAACGCTTGATTTACTGACCATTAGGTGTATTGCTTGCTATCCTCTGACAAAATACATCATAAATTTCCTGGACTGTTTCAGTGAATCTCAGAAGAGGAAAAGTGTTGCAACATCTGGACCTCTTTCAGCAACTAGAAGTTCTCAAGACCCTGATGAAGTAATAACAGAAAAAGAAAGTGAGCCCCTTGAAGAATTCATAGATGGTAACTTTCCAGTGAGTATATACTTAACAGAAGGTATTTACATTTAAGAAACAAAATTAGACTAAGTAGAACTGGTCTTTTACATGCTGTTCATCTTGGATATTATAGAAATTAATTTTAGAAGATAAATTTATTGTTTTGTATTTGAACTAGCTCTTCTGTGTACTAAACTAGTGAGGATGGCATGGCTATGTAGAGGTTTTTTTCCTTGATTTATTTGCTTTGCTAAGATACCTGTAAGCTGAATACAGTAATTTTTTAGAGAGTGGAAACTAGAAAACACATTAACCTTGCTGTGCTACAGGAATGTTTCGGGATGATTTTCATAGCAATGTCAGGCAGTCACAGATTGGCTGTCTCTCTGTTATAGTGTTCTCTCTGTTTAATTGTTGTTTTTTTTTACCAATAAGTTGGAAATTCATGCTCATTTTCTAGTAATGGTAAAAATAGAAACCTAACCGCTTTAAAACTGTTCTTTCTAGCAACTGGTTATTGAAAACGCCAGAGAAAAAATCTTGAGCAACAAATCTCTTCAGGAGAAACTTGCTGAGAACATTAACAAAATCCTGGGCAGGTAATAAAAGGAACCTCTAAACTTCATACATATTCTTATTTGATTTATTTTTGAGTTGTGAACTAATGACTTATGTGTTCCAGCGATGGCAATGTTGCTCAGGCCCCTAAACAGACAGACAGTGGTCCCATGGAACAGGAGACTTCAATTGATGAAATCCTTGGACTTCAGGTGGGTGTCAATTGCCTGGTTTACATTTTTTGAAGGCCAGGCACATGAGAACGTTCTGTTATGGGAACTATGCTGAACCTCTGTCTGATACCTGAGATTGCTCTCCCCTTTCTCTTACTCTTTGTATTTGCTTGTTTGTTTTATAATACAGCTGAGCTACCCAGGGGCAGTTCCCTTGCCATAGGTACTAACAACTTTGTGGTGTGGTGGTGGGCAGGTTCAAGGAGCTGAACTGACAGGATATGAGTATTTTGCTGCAGTTAATTTTGAACCAGATTAGCACTCTGAATTCATTCTCAGTGCCTGTACAAGGCAGCAGAACCGTGCAGCTGGGTCAAAAGCCAAGGGAGTGGGACTGCTTCTGGCAGTGGCTGTTAACATTACCTGCAGAGTGAGATTTAAGTACAATGTCCCACAGTCACCAGCTGCCTGGATCTTCAGTACCAGTAATTTGGTACCAGCTTCTGACTAGGGATCTGATCAATAACCTTATAAAAGAAAAAGGAATTTAAAATATCCTGCATCCCAAACATGTTCAGTCAGATCTGATTTTCTGATTTACTGTAAGATCGTCTAGTATAGCAAGAGAAATTGTCTTTGGAGCCTAAACAAGGATGCTGCTGCTTCAAATTTACTTTTTTCTTGCTTTTGAAGGAAATGTATGTTTACAAACTAAACCTCTAGTGTTCTCCATTCTATAATTGTCAAACTGGGAATCACAGAATTACAAAGGGCTCTTAATAAGGGAAATTGTAATCTTCACAGCCCTCATGAGAAGAGCAGCTGCCTGTATACAAAGTAGAGGTGCCTGATTTTTAAATGTTATTCTTCTGTCACTTGGTGATTTTAGGTCATTTTTTGTCAAAATACAGAGCTCAAAAGCTGTATTCCATTTTTCTGAACAGAACAAAATCAAAGCAGTTTCTTGGTTTAGAGTAGCTGAGACAAAATAATCAAGCATGTCACATGGGATATCCGCCCTTACAACCACCATATCAAAGGTTGTAGTGGCTTAGAGGAGAGAGACAGGAGAAACATTGCATTTGAACACTTGAATATGACTGAATGCCCCACTCATTTTCTTTCTGGGCTGCTATTAAACTGATCAGCTTGAAACAGGAACCTTAGAGCAGTGTCCTGTGTAGCTGTGCCTTCCACAGAAAAGTAGTTAGAAATCACATTATAAAACATATAATGGGTAAGTGAAATAAAACTTCCCTTTGCTTAGCATTGTCTTCTAGATATATGCAAATCCAAGAAATTAGGGTTAATTTGGGGATTTTTTTAGCCATGGCTGACTGGTGCAGGCTCACGGAATTCATACCATCTGCATAACCTTCCAGTATGTGCAAGATTTGGTCCTCCTTAGACAATGCTGGCATTATATGGAGAGTAACTCCAGTATGCATGTCCAGGGTATAATGTCTGACAAAGATGTCTGGGTTTTGGGGAACTTTATATCTTAAACTTGTATGTTGAAAAATATTAGTGATCCATTAAATCTGTGGCAGAAACGTTTCTAGCATTAGTCTTAGGTTTCTGTGCTGAGCAGGAGTAATAGAACTAAAAAGAATCTGAAAAGAAAACAATTTTTGTCTGGTTTTAAGTTACTCAAGTAAATAACAGTTCTGTATGTCTTGTCTTTTCTGAGGGTGAAATCCATATGTCAGAAGAGGCTATACAGGACATTCTAGAACAGACTGAATCAGATCCAGCTTTTCAAGCACTCTTCGACTTGTTTGATTATGGTAGGGTGTATTATTTTCATTTGTACCAGTACTATAATGCATCATGAATGGTTAGTTTTCCTAAGTGTTGCTTGAAGAAGCTAAGGTAATTCAGCTGGCCTCTTTGCAAGCGAAATGGGTTGTATGCATCTGTGTCTCCCAATACAGAATTGGATTTTTTATACATTTTTACATTACTATAAAGTACAGCATTTTCTTGTGGTTGAAATTCTGGTTTTGTGCTGGTTCAGTGTTTGTTTTGTTGCTGTTATTTTAGACTCTTCTGGTCTAGATGATAGTTTGTACTTGTTTACTGTGTTGCAAATTTTTTCTATTTGTCTGATCGAGGATATCCTTCCATTAAAATACAAAGATGTTTTAGTGCTATTTCTGGATTTGTAATGAATATAGAAAAATAGTTATTTTAGTTAAGGGTGGCGTGTCTTGACTTTGGAATCTCCATGCTTCATGTAAAATATAATAATCACATTTGTGTGTAAAATGACATGTTTAATCATTCCTCATGCCTTATTTTGAAAATAGGAAAGAGCAAGGTAAACAAGAACTTACCTGCTGGTCAGAGTGGAGTAGAAAATGCAATCCTGGTGGATGAGGATAACCTGGAAACACTGGAAAGTTCTTTAGGAGCAGAAGAAACTGGTAGATGTAGGTTCTTTTGGTTTTTTTCTCTAAGATCTCTTCTAACTTTTCACTTTGAAAGTATTTTCAGACAATTAGTAAATTTCCCAATCTTTCTGTTTTCAGTTCTAGTATCCAATCTGACATTTACATTGCATGAACGTACGGATACATCTAGTCTGTCAGAAAGTTTCAGCCTATTAAATTTAATAGTAGTCCGTCAGTGTACTTCCAAGTTCCATTTGGTAAGCTCCTAAATGAAATCAGAACGTCCGCAAAACTGTTTTCTTATTCAAAACAGAGATACTTTGCAATTTTCACTGTGGAACATGTGAATATAAATATAATATTTTACATCTAACCATTCTAGTGTTTTCTCTCTATTCTGTAATGTATGGGTTATTAATACGCAAAAAGAATCTAACTCTGTACAAAAGGTATGTTTAGTGTGTCTACTTAACAGTAGTCAGTCAGTAGCAGATATTTAGCGAAAGTATATGAGAAATAGAGCTGGAACTTCTTTGTCCTGATATGTTTCATGTGCTTCTGGAAATCTGATTTAGTGACTCGAGCCATTTGCTTATTATGTGTATACTTATTATTATAAGTACAAACTGATTTGCCAGATTGCCTAATTATGTAATCTAACTGTGCGTTTCATGTACTTTTCTACTCAGCTTGAAATTAAGGATGAGTAGCATTATTCTCACTTAGCTTTGTGTGAAACAGTTTTCCATTGAACAGATAAGTTGCTTTAAAAATGCTGCAAAAGAATCATCTGTTCTAATTATTTTGGAACTTATTCTCTGCTTTACAGGTGATAATTCTGGAGAATCACTGTCCTGTAAAGGCTTTCAGTTAGGAGAAGCATCATGTGCCTTGAAGACCAACATTAACAGTGATGATGTGGCTAAGAAAAATACAGCCAATGAACAGCTGCATGGAAATGGTAGACCAAGGAAGCAAACTGAAGTCCTTAAAACCATTACCTCTGAACATATTGGAGAGCTTGAAATCGCTTTCAACCCTGTGCCTGGTTTGACTGAACCTCTCAAGAAACAGACTTCTGATAGCGAATTCAGTGAACACTGCGGAGATTCTTATGATAAAAAAGAGTCATCTGCATTAGTATCTGAAAGTGAGAGAGCTATGGAAATTGAAAAAGGCCCACTAAGTCATAGTGCTCAAAGTAGTCCTAATTTAGAACTTGTTCATTCTGGTAGTCCACAGATTTCTTTGATTTCATTGGTAGAAGGTACTATAGCCAGTGAAAACAGAGGACGTTCTGGAAGTCACTTATCACCAGATACATCACAATCTGAAAAAACACTTGCTAAAAGCCCTTCTCATGGGACCCCTGGCCACAGTGCACTGCTCAGGAAAAACAATTCATCAATTTCTAGCCCATCAGCAGAGGCAGGAAAAGAGCAGGGTGTAACAAATGGCACAGCTGCCCTGCCTGGTATTTTAGAGGACAGCTCTAGCCACTGCTCCAACCATCAGGAACAGAGTACACAGCCAGACTGCGCTGCAAGATCTGCAGTGAAGATTTCGGATCTTGAGAAAACAGAGTTGCAGCTTGAAGTTGTTGATACTTCTAACAAACCTTATTCAAATGATCAGCACACACTTGATAAGCCTTGTAAGAAAGATTTTAACCTCCCTTCAGGACTGCCAAACTCAGAGGGAACACAAGGGGAAATGCAAGAACCTTCATCTTCTACAAAAGTAGATGCTGATAATTTATATTTCTCTGCTGGTGATGGTGCATGTACAGAAATTTCTGTAGTATCCACTGAAAATAATCTTACTACATCTGAAATATGCCACCCTCCTCTCCCAGAAACTGCATCCTCAACAGATGAGTCGGGTATCGAGGGAAAAAGTATTAGCAGTGTTTCTTCCAGTAGTCAACCAGTGGATGTTGATCCTTCTAATACCATGTCCCTCAAGATTATCATCAGTGATGATCCGTTCATCTCCTCAGACACAGAGTTAAATAATGCTGTTTCCAGCATCACAGGAGAAAACTTGCGAACTATAATATTGTCTTCTCCAGCCAAATCCCCGACCAAAACTGCAGGCTTGTCCAACTGTCTCACTTCAGAAGACACAGAAAAAAATGTGGATTCAGCTTTGGCAGAGCAGAATCTTCTTGTGCTTAGACCGAAGGATCCTGTAGTCACTGCAGTTACCACTCAGAATGAAGACTGCACTGTTTTTTCGGTTGCGGGTACGACGAGTCTTTCCAAGGAAGGAGGATTTATACAGTTGCTGCCAGCGACAAGCACGGCTTTTGGGAATTCGAACAACCTTTATATAGCCACCTGCGTGACTGATCCAGCTGCCTTGGGCACAGCTGTAACAACGCTATCAAATGTAGTTGTCTTGCCTGGCAATTCCGTGCCTCTTGCTGCCCAAGCCCCAGTTGTGCAGCAGTTACAGACTCCTCCTCGATCCAGCAATATATTTGCAGCAAACCAGACTGTCTCCTCAAATTTCCCACAAGGTAATCGCATTATTGGAAAAATCACCGAGAATGTGGTGTTTAGACAGCATTTTTATTCTTTTTTTTTTTTTGTAAATGCCTTAAAAGTAAACTGAATTTTTAAATATTGCTCTATCTGTCCCTTGAAAATCTGTCAGGAGTTTTGTATTTCTGGAGTATATTAGTTGGTACTGAAAATGAAACAAAAATTACAAAGAATCATTGACCAGACTGCTTTGAAAAAAAAAAATAGCCTCATATTTCACAAGTTTAAATTACATAATTTTAAGAGTGATAGATTTAGAAAGCATATTTTGGCTTGCACTAGAAAAGATTCTATTTTTTTCGGATAAATTAAGCTGTTTGCTTGTTTTAATAGGTTTCCTGTTATAAGTAGAATGCTATGTGTTATGGGTACCCATATTTAGTTTAGATAACTTGCTAGATGTAGATACTGCTTCCAAAATTACCTTCTTGTTTTATTTTGTTTTCTAAAGACCTAGTCTGCACTAGAAGTACATTTAGGCAAATATGAAAGTGTAACATTATTTCTTTCCATAATATAAAATCTCTCCTGGTGCAAGCAATTTTATTACTACAGTGATTAAAATTCCAAGTGCTTTTTAAGATGTTAAACCTAATTATACACTGGTTATAATCAAGGCATTTAGACTTCTTTCCTAAACTAAAATCTTGTTGCAGTTATCCTTGAATTTTTGTGTGTAGCCATTTCGTTGTGGTCAGAGGTCGGTGCGACCGTATGTGCAGGATCTTAGTGCTGGCCTTTTCTGTCCTTTGGATTTCTTTATGAATATGTTATCTCCAGGCTTTTTTCACAGGGAGAGAAACAGAAGTTTGCCCATTCCTCTGCATTTGGTGTTTTTCCCAGTGGTGCTCATGTAACTGAAGAACTGTGTGGAATCATTTTTTCTCTCACTTTTCAATTAACGTGCTATAATTTCTTTATTTTATAATTCCCATATATCTGGCAGCTGGACGCTCTTATGACCTGCTAGCATAACTAATTTGAAACAACTATTTTAACAGTGATTTAAATAGTTAAGTAGGAAACTTGGGTTTAAATAGCCCAAATTAGTCTTCTTGTGCTTCATTTTTTTCAAATAGCTGATCTGAAATGCACTCATTAACTGAAGTCTTTGTGTACCACATTGAACACCTCCTGCCAGCCAGGAATACATGTTAGATACCGAGGTACAGACAAAACCAGCCTTTCCCCACTTTCTGTGTGCTCACAAGGGGAAGGTGTTATGGGTGCACTGGAAGAAGAAAAAAAAATCTGCTAACAACTTTTGAGCATGCTGATTGTAGGGAATAGGCTGCAAATAATAGGGCTTTTTTGCTAAGCAGCAAAGTGAGCTACTTAATTTTTCTAGGGTTTTTTATAAATGAATTTAAAGTTCAAGCATTAACATAGATATGTGATACTTCAAGCTTAATTTTAAACTATTTCTTAAGGAAAACAGGGTTTAACTAAGAATCTCATTTAAACTACAAATAATGGCTACTTACCCAGTTGTCTAGTAGAGTCATATAGTAAGGACCATGAAGTTGTTTTGAAAAGTCAAACCTTGCCACAGGTTTGACCATGCATAATTTTAAGAAATGCTGTCTTGAAGCTTTTCTTGTCATTGAAGTCTTTTCGTTTCTGTACAGTTTTAACACTTGGATATTTTGTAGGCTCTGCCATTATAATTACATCTCCAGTGCAACCTGTTCTGCAGGGAATGGTGGGAATGATACCGCTCTCAGTGGTGGGGCAGAATGGAAATACCTTCTCAGCACCTGCCTGCCAGGTGAGCACATCACCAGTAAACCGTTGTCTTTTCAGTATGAAAGCTGAAGTGATGAGGCGTCCTTTGGTAAACTGTCATGAATATTATGATTCTTTCAAGGTTCTACACGTGCCTGTGGCTAACCCAGTGAGTGTCCCAAAACTTCCCATCCCTCCCAAGTCACAAAAGATTCCTGGAGCAAGGAACAAGACTAATACAGGTACCCAGATTGCATCCTGGAGAAGGGCAGAGGAGAAGTGGGGGTTCTGAGTGGTAAAGTTTTATAAATACCAGTGCTCCTCTGCCAGGTCACTGCTGCATTGACTTTGAGAGAGGCCTTTAATTAGTAACTATATTTGCTCAGTTTACAAACAAGCCTCCCAGTATATTAAATAATTCCAGATTTGGAATCAAGCTTATTTTGGAAATTTTGTTTTAAGAGTCTAATGCACTTTAAAAAATGTACTTTTTTTTGTGTTTCTGGTTATTTTTCATCTCATTGATTGTAAGTACAGTTTACTGCTGCCATCGAAATGAAGCCACACAGAAATTCAGAAGTTACTAGAAGAGTCAGCAATTTTAAACATTTATTAAGGAAAATATTTAAGAGAAGTGTTGTGTGTTTATACAAAAATGCACTCTGTTTTCTTTCCTATTTCAGGTATACATTTGTGTATGTTTTATTTGAGACCTTGCTTCTCAAAATAGTAAATTGAAACAAGACTGGAGTTACATTCATTTGTCAGTGTTGGGAAGAAGTAAAGAAAAATAATTGAAAATGCAAAATAAATTGAGCTATAAGGCCAACTTGTGCATTAGCTTATCTACCTTTTTTAAAAACAGGTAGGCTTATACATAAAAATGAAAATAGGGTGAAGTTTCAAATTAAGAAAAAAGTTAGTCTGCATTCTGGTTTGCTGATGGAGAACTGGGAGTTCCCTGTGGTTGTTTCCCTTCTGCTTGGAAATCCCTGCTGTGCATTTTTAAGTCCAGCACAATTGGTTTCGTCTTGCCAGGCCTGCGTATCCTCCAAGTGTAGAGAGGAGGCAAGCTTCTTGTTTATACTTAGTTGGTGACCTTTGCTACTCTTCTAATCTGTAAATTTGAAGATTATGAAAATGTGGCAGAGTTTTGTTGCTGGGTTTTTCTTTTATTGATTTTTCTGTCAGGTGAAATGTCAGAGAATCATTTAGGTTGGAAAAGATCCTTAAGATCATTGAGTCCAGTCATTAACCTAACGCTGCCAAGTTCACCACGAAACCATGTCCCTAAGTGCCACATTTACAAATGTCATTGTACCAACTGTGAGATGATTTACTCAAAATACTGGAGTTTATTGATGCCTCTTCCGTTGTTCCAGGAAAACTGGCGCCAAGCGTAGCTGAGCCTTCAAACCATGCAAATTCTCGAACACAAAGGTCAGTAGCACTCGGTGTTTAACCTCGCTTTCTTTCTCCTGTCATGAATTTCGTTGTACTGTGTTGCCTGGGAGGAGCACGGCTTTTTTAACAACGGCATAAGCAGTGCCCCTCTTCTTTATTTTTCTCTTGTCTGTGTGCTGGGAGTATCGATGCAGGTGTGTGTTAGTGCTGCTGCAGCAACTTGTTAATGACAAACCTGTGTTGGAATTCTGCTGTTACTGGTCCTGTTAATTGTGCATGGCTTTGGGTTTATTTTCATCTGTCTCAATCATAAAATAAAAATTGTTTGAGCTGAGTCCAAGCTAGCAGAAATTACCTGTTACATTTACTGGAAGATTTTGATGACTAAACCTTTACACGTATATATATATATATATATACACACACACACATATACATATATATGAATAAAATGTAATTGCTAATCAGGATAGGTACTTGTCTTCTTTTGGGCAAGTGTGAGAGAAAAAAGCAGGGTTTCTGTAGTAACTCTCGTTAAATGGACTTAGGAAACAAAAGGATGTTGGAATGAGCAAAAGAGTGTAGAAAGAGATAAGTTTTGTTTAAATTTTCGAGGTGAAACATTCTTTTATTGTAAAAATGGAATATACCTTTTTACAAAAACTCACCTATTCAGAACTCAGTTGAAATGCTTGAAAAGTGGAGGAAAACAGGAACGATAAGGTGAGCTTATTTAAAAAAAATATACCAAGGTATACAGTATACATGCCTGCAAAAATCAGTGTTTTTTTTAAAAGCCACAGAAGCAAAATTTGGGATAATATAATTTTGATCATTCAGTTTTCTATCAGTCAGTCTCCAGACGTGTTTTGCATAGCAGAGAGAGCAAACTGTTCCCTGTAAAGAGATGCAATTTCTCATTTCTACTCTGCCTTTTGTCTTATCCTAAACAAGCTGCTACCACCCATACCTTCTTTACCTCTTTCAGTGTTAATTTGACTTTTCCCTCAATAAACCACAAAGGCTTATCTTCACTGGGAGAGTATTAGTACTAGTAATAAGTAATTTTAGCACTAGTAATATCAGTAATATATAATATGTAGTAATATATAATATATATAGTAATATAAGTAATATTAGTACTAGTACTAGTAACCAGTACTAGTTTTACCTGATGCCCCTGGTTCTTCTGCTGGAAGATACAGCAAATAGTTTCCTCTTTGTTGGTTTTTTTCCCAGAGCTCTGTTGCATTTCCCTTCAGTCATCTCTTTCCAGGCTGAAGAGGTGCAGTCTGCCTTACTGTTCTTTGTATAGACTCTGTTTCATACTTTTTTGTCACCCTTTTTGGCCTTCTCTGAGCTTCCTGCAGTTGTTATCCCTTACTCTTGGTCATTGTGTATTGATAAAATACATTTAGAGAATGAAGAAAGCTTTAAGCAGGTGTTTTGAGGGACTAGAGGATACCTTCAGCCAGCCAAAATGAACTTCTGCAGTAAGAACAAGTTGCTGAAGTATTTTCATCTCATTTTCAGGAGCCCAAATTCGGACAAGCTTATCACTGCAGAACTAGGAAGGAAAGCGGAGGAGAACTTACCTGTCCCATCAGTAGAGAGCACAAGCTTGAATTCAAGACAAAACGAAAGTCACAGGAGAGTGCTTTGCTTTGATAACGTCCCACCCGCTCCAGGAGGGAATGCCCAAATTCAGACTACAAAGAGTTTATCTCAAAAAGAAAGAAATGAAAATACTTTGCTTGCTGTTGATTCTGCATCGTCCTCTGCTAAGGCACAGCCAGCAAAGAGAGAGAAAGATAAAACGTTGCCCAGAATTCTGTGTAAGCCAGAAGTTAGCAGCAACAGGAGCACATCCGCAAAGGAGCTGCAGCCCGAGCGGAAGGTGGCAACTGCAGGGCTTCCACTCGATCCCTTCCACAAAACTACAGCAAATAAAGAAAATGAATTACAAAGAGATACGGATGAGAAACAGAAGAACCAGGACACTGCCAAACTCTCAAACGGCCAGCAGAGCGCTAGCTTATGGAATGAGAAGACAGTTGCTTCAGTGCAAGAGCTGAACAAAAAGCAAGGGTCACTGTCAAATGGGACGAGCAAATCTTCTGTGTCCATGTCTTTGTCTGCAAAGGAGCCAAAGCGAGAACCAGCCAAAGTTTCCAACCAAGGCCTTTGTCTGTCAAGTCCATGTACCAAACAATGTCTGGAAATGCTGCAAGACATTCAGTGGCACAGCCCAACCAGTAAAGCAGTTGAAAACAGAGAATTGCCAGTGCCCCGTACGCCGTCCGGAGTTGGGGACAGGCATACGGAAGATACTACAGACAGCGTACGGACACCAACCTGTCGGCGCTTCAACGAGGACAGCACAACCCCTAGAATTATGGTACCCCCTGCTACGCCTGACTTGCCTGCCTGCAGCCCTGCCAGTGAAACAGGCAGTGAAAACAGTGTCAATATGGCTGCCCACACGCTGATGATCCTGTCACGGGCAGCCATCGCGCGGACTAGCACTGCAACTCCCCTGAAGGACAACACTCAGCAGTTCAGATCCTTACGGAGCGTGGTAAAGAAAAGGAAACTTGAGGACTTGAGTGAAGGTGAGAGAAATTCACGTTCTGCAAATAGAGAAGACCTTCAAAGCTCGCCAACGCCATCAAAAAAGAAGAAAATAAAGGTAAGTACACGCATTTAGTCTTTATTTAAAATTCTAAATACATACTAGACAT